GATTATACTAGTGCAAAAGGGTAAAGGATACATGGGGGTTTACTACTATATAAAAGTACAAAACTCTGCTCACCATTGTCTTTTAGGCGTTTCCGCACATTGTGTACCAATGCACGCTCTATAGGTGGACAGAGGAGTGCCCTAGTTGTGCGTAACAGGCAGAATATATAATATATATGTTTTGACGTTTCTGTCTAAATTTTCATTTTTTTTTTCTCTCCCGTTCTAATCTTGTAATGAGTATATTGGAAATGTCTCCTCATTGTTTGCTGCTTATTGGATATAAACTGCTCTTAATACTACGTAATTATCTAAATTACTCCTAGGAATGAAAATCATTTATTCTAATTTTAGGGTCCTGATTTAGTAATCCATCAAAGCAAGGAATGTCTAGATAAAATGGGAGAATGGTGTCAAAGTCATCATGCAGATAGTGGTATGTTGGTCCTTACATTTACATTATCCTCATTGCAAATTATTTAGTGGTATTGTGTATATTTATGAGCAATTGGAAATTATATCATTTTGACTTCGTTTAGGATTGACAAAAAAGGTGCTTCAGAGTACAATTGATGAAAGGAATGCTGAAAAGCAGGTATATTCTACCTTATTAAGTGTTGAAATTTTTTGTACGTTATTTCATGTATATGTCAAGTTTATCCAAGTAATTGGAAAAATTATTCTATCATGCGAGTGGATTTTCAGAAGCTGATTGGTAAAACTAGTTTATTTTGTATATTTAAAAATTTTGTTCAATTTGTTGTTGGTATCTTTCTCATCCCAATGTTAAGTTGACTTATTATAGGTTTTGGACTTCGTGAAAAAGCATGTTGGCACACGTACACCCCTGTTAGCTGGAAATTCAGTTTATGTTGACTTTATGTTTTTAAAGGTAAGTTTGGCATTACTGAATGGCGACTTCTAATTTGCTGGTAAATTAGAATGTTATTGGTTTTCATAGTCTGTCTGTTAGGCCAGAAGAAACAATCAAAGTAATAAACCAATATCGAAGCATAATAAATCTCCTTTTATTTAGTACCTTATTTGGTTTTGGTTCACATAGATGGACAATGGAAATAAAATCTCTCATATGTTTGGTTTGGAGCTTGAACTTAGTGGAGGCAGGACAGAGTATGTGCCACTTCAGTTTGGGAACCACACACTTTGAAACAATTTAACTGGACGTACATGAAATACATCACATTATCAGTTGTCACCCTCATTCCTTATAAATTGAATGACTAGTTAACAAATCAGTGAAGTTACCTATGCTGGTCTAGTATTGAGTGCTAGTAGGATAAGCTGGGTATTGAATATTTTACTAGTTTACTACACCATTTCAGTTGCATATCGTAACTGTCTCCACTTCCTTGTTTGCAGAAATATATGCCAGATTTAGCGAGTGCTTTCTCTCATGTGCTTGTTGATGTTAGCAGCATTAAAGCTCTATGCATCCGCTGGTATCCAAGAGGTAATGTTCATTTCTCAGATTTGGTGTTTCAAACAACCCGTATATAATAACAACACATGACGGGGAACAGGGAGAAACTCATTGAGTTCTCTTCTAGGAGATGTTCTGTTATATAATCTTTATGGCAAAAGGCTAAGCATGAAAAACTTGAACCACTTGTCTCCTCTCTCGCAGTCTCACATTAATCTCCCATGCTGTTCGTGCAAAATTCCCTATTAAAATCACTTCATATTTTCCTTAGGAAGTGAAAAAATTTCTCCCTCTTTTTTGTTGGGGGGGGAGGGTGAGGTGGGGGTATGTGACAAGTGACAATGTGCATTTTTTTTAGACTTTGTTGTTGATTTTT